AAGGCTCCTAAGGCGAAAAAAGCTGACGACGTTATTTCTATAATTACCGAAGAATCTTTCATCTCTTTTAGGAAAAAGTTTCATTTTCCTAATGACTTGGTGATGAAGGTGCCGGTGAGATCTGAGCGCGCCTGCTTTCCTCCCCGAGGATACGTGACAGTGTATGAGTTTAGTTTGTGAGCGGGGTTGCGATTCCCGCCGCCGCCTGAACTGGTTGATATCCTTACAGCTTGTAGATTTAGTTTGTCTCAATTCTCCTACAGGGCTATGTCGGTGGTAGTGGGTCTGAGCGGTATTATCTGTAGAATGCCTATCCCAGATGGGGCGTATCTATACTGATCCACAGGGTCGAATTTCCTTTAGATCCAAGTGGTTGGAAATTCGTACTTGGGATCCATCCAAAGATTGGATTAGCGATTATTTCTTTGTGTAGAATGATTGGGGCCTCCAAGAAAGATGGGGAGGGTTGAGGGAGCTACCTATTCCCCTTCATGTAGGAGCAGAAGACTTGTTGAGTATGTTGAAGCTTGCTGATACCGAAGCTCTTCGTTACGAAATGCGCTCTCTTAGCAGATGCTTAGACGAGGAATATTTATTCAAGGTGGGGCTATCCACTCATGCAGGGAGGTCGCATGCACAGAAGTTGAAGATATCCGCAAAAGTCCCGGAGGTCTAAAAAACTCAACACAGGCGACCTGAGGGCGAGGGAGATTCACATACGCCTAAGAAGAAGAAGTCGAACGAAGTTTTTGTAATTGCTGGCAAGGGCTCTCGCTTTTCTCCATCCAGGATATACATTCCAGAGGATGTTCTGAAAATAAGTGCATCGGTCGTCGACGAGCCGAAGAGTTGGTGAGTTCACATTCTCTCCATTTTCATTGTATTTGTGCTTAATTTCAAGGATATACTTTTCACTTATTGATTCTTTTTTCGAACAGTTCCTTGAGGTGAACAAAATCTTGGATGACTGGAATGATGAGTTTGTGAAGGTCAAATACCTCCAGGGAGAATACAAGTAGAAATACGACGGCAGAGTGAAGGAAATGGAGACGGTGGAGAGTCAACTCGACCAATGCAGAGCAGAATTGGCGAACAAGATTGCTTCAACTTCTTCTCAAAATGAGCAGATGGATCGTTTGCATATACAGTTGGTGGAGGCAGAGGCAACAAACAACCAACAACTGAAAAATATGCGAATCCTTGAGGCCGAGAATAAGAAGCTCCTGAACAAATTGTCGGAGAAGGTAGCTCAATTGTCACCATCTGCAGACATAGAGGAGTTCAAAAAAATCTTATGCTTTTAAGATTTTTATCGAGGATCAAGTCCAGGAAGCTCGCGATTATTTTTATGACGTAGAGGTAAAGGCTTTAGAAGCAAAGCTTATGCATGATGGCTTCATTAAAGGCTTTATGAAGGGCGTTCGTGCTGTGAAACGCAAGATTGGAGGGGAGATCGAGGGGTTGACCTCAAGCCAAGCATCTGGTGATCCTTCTCCAGATTCTGACGGCAAAGAATTGGAGAGTGATTTGCAAAAGATCTTCGCGTTGGAAGAGGACAACGATGATGATCTTGAGATTCTGTAGAACTATTTTGATGCTTTCTGTGTTGATTTTGTTTTTGTTGCGATGATTGTTCGTATGTTCATGCTGTTCGTGTGTTGTTATTTTTGGACGATGTACCTGTTGTTTGTGGGTTTTTTATATATAAAAAAGACATTTTTTTTCTTTTTTATATATGTTAACTCATATATTAAGGAAGTCTTTTTGACTTGCACGAATGTAAGAGATATCCGCTTTGGGACACTCTGACCTATCCGAGGTTGTTAATCAAAGCACTTGCTTGATGATTTTAACCTGTGTGGAAGAGGTCGGACTAGACCCCCCTGGGATTAGTTGTCTATTGATTGAGATACAACATAAGTTGTGTATTTCTCGAATCATAGGAGAAAGCTCAAATATAAGAGACAGTGCAATGACAAAGCAAACATCACATTACTGTATTATATAAAACAGTAAGACAATTCCCTAGTAAACTTAGGGATACAAACATGAGTTCTTATGCAACAACGTGCAAAGAGTAAAAAAACTCAAAGAAAATACAAGGCACAGCTACAAAGCAAAACAAACTTCTTGAACGACATCACACATGACATATAGTAACATCAATATTCTACTGATAGTACTTGCGAAGGTTCCCCACATTCCAAGTTCGGGGAAGCATTCTTCCGTTGGCATCTTTCAATTTGAAGGTCCCAGGCTTGACCATAGCCGCCACCAAATAAGGCCTTCCCATAAGGGGGAGAGCTTATTGCGTTGAGGTCCTTTTCCTGCAGCTTCAATGCTTCGCAGAACTAAATTCCCAATGGAAATAGTTTGAGGCTTTATCCTTCGATTGTAGTGACGAGCGATCCGTTGATGGTATGCAGCGACCTTAAGTGAGGCTTTATCTCTTGCTTCAGGGAGGAGATCTAGATTTGTCCTGAGTTTCTCCTCGTTGTTATCGAAGTTAAAAGTCTGAACTCTGCTACTCGGGACTCCGATATCTACCGGTATGACCGCTTCTGTACCAAAACAGAGGTTAAATGGAGTCTCTCCTGTAGGGGTTCTGGCCGTGGTATGGTAAGCCCAAAGGACATTCGGGAGTTCTTCAACCCATTGCCCCCCAGCCTTCCCTAGGCATGTCTTCAGTCCTTTCAAGATTGTTCGATTTGTAACCTCTGTTTGCCCATTCGCTTGAGGATGGGCGACAGCTATGTGGACGAGCTGAATCTGGAAATCTTTACAGAATTGAGTTCAATTGTCGGTGATGACCTTTGCTGGAATCCTGAAGTGACAATTTATATTCTTCCATAAGAATTGTTTGGCATTTGCTTCGGTAATTTTTGCCAAGGGTTCTGCTTCCACCCACTTTGTGAAGTAATCTATAGCTAGGATGATGAATTTTCGTTGTCCTGTAGCTATAGGGAAGGGTCCCATTATGTCGATTCCCCACTAGGAGAAAGGCCAGAGGCTTTGAAGAGATGCAAGTTCTAAGGCTGGAGTATAGGTGAGATTGGAATGCAATTAGCAGTTTATGCACTTTCGTGTAAAATCAAGTGCGTCTTGTTTCATTGTAGACCAATAGAACCCCTGTCTCATGATCTTATAAGCCAAAGCTCTTCCTCCCAGATGCTCGCCACACACTCCTGAATGAACTTCTCAGAGGGCATACTGAAGGTGGGAGACACTTCAGATATGGCTCGGTGAAAGAGCGCTTGTATAATTCACCACCAATGATGGTGATTTGCTGCTCGTCTTCGAAGTCTTGTTGCGGCCATGGGTTCTTCAAGCAGTACCCCATCTTGTAAGAAAGACAAAATGGAATTGATCCAAGACTCATCCCTTGTTTCGTTGATCGATTGTATGACCCATGGACCTTGAATGCTGGGAAAGTGGATCTCCTCAACGCACTTCCTCTTGTAGATGTCTCCTGTTGTTGATGTTACAAGCTTTGAAAGAGCATCTGCTCTTACATTTTGCTCTCGGAGAATATGTATGATCTGATATTCTCCTATTCTCCTATTCGGGTTAAAAGCAGTTTTGCAATCTTACAATATTGAGCAAGTTGCAGATTATGGATATCGAATTCTCCCTCTACTTGGGAAGCAACTAGTTGTGAATCAGTGTGGACTACCAAGTTCTACACTTCACAATCAATTGCTAGTTTTAGCCCAGCGATAAGAGCTTCATATTCTGCCATGTTATTTGTTGCCGGGAACTTGAGTCGGAGCCCATACTCAAGAGTACTCTCCTGCGGAGATATTAATAGAATTCCAGCCCCCTTGCCAGAACTTCTAGAGGATCCATCAACATACAACGTCCAACGCAGAGGAGAAGGAAAAGTACTTGGTTGAACATCAGATGCTGGGACGGTGCATTCAACTACAAAATCTATGAGTGCTTGAGATTTTATATCGGGTCTAGGCAAGTAGTGAATGTCGAATTCGCCAAGTTCCACATACCACTTGACGAGTTTACCCGATGCTTCCGATTTTGGAGAATACTTTTTAGCGGCAGATTTGTGTAAACTCCTATTGAGTGGGCTTGGAAGTAAGGACGTAATTTCCTGGCAGAATAAACTAACGCCAATGCTGTCTTATCTGCTAAGGGATAACGCCCCTCCGTCTCAGATAGGATTTTACTGACATAGTATACGGGGCGTTGCGTAGCACTTTCTTCCAGTACCAAGATCGAACTGATGGCTTGGGCCGAAACAGCTATGTATAAATACAACTTTTCTCCGGACGTCGGTTTAGAAAGTTGTGGTGGGGAAGCCAAATACTTTCGTAGCTGTTGGAAGGCTTCTTGGCATTCGTCCATCCATTGGAAACCAGAGTTGTGGGCACCTCTGAGTATTTTGAAGAAAGACAGATATTTGTCTCCTGAACGCGTCAGGAAACGTGACAATGCTTCAATTCTCCCGTTCAGTCTTTGGAATTCCTTGATGTTCTTAGGGGGCACCATATCTCTTAACGTCTTGATCTTTTCGGGATTGGCTTCAATTCCTCTGTGGGTTACCATAAAACCCAGAAATTTTTCAGAAGCAACTCCGAAGGCACATTTGGCGGGGTTGAGTCGCATATTGTAACGCCTCAGCAGACGGAAGCACTGCTCCAAGTCGGAGATATGTTGAGACTTATCGAGACTCTTCACCAACATGTCGTCGACGTATACCTCCATGTTATGCCCAATAAAGGTTTTGAAAACCTTATTCATGAGGTGTTGGTAAGTTGCTCCAGCATTCTTGAGCCCGAAGGGCATTACCCGATAACAGTACAGTCCTCTGTCTATTTGAAATGCTGTTGCTTCTTCATCAGTCGAATTCATCTTGATTTGATTGTAACCGGATTATGCGTCCATGAAACTCAAGATTTGATGCCCAAAAGTGGTATCGACTAACTGGTCGATGCACGGAAGGGGAAAGCTGTCTTTTGGGCAGGCCTTGTTGAGATCAGTATAATCTATGCACATTCTCCATGCACCGCTCCCCTTCGAACCAAGACGACATTTGCCATCCAATTAGGATGATGCACTTCTCGTATGAATCCAGCTTTCAGAAGTTTGTCTACCTCTTGTTCGATCTCCTGCTGACGATCTGGTGCAAAATTCTGTTTCTTCTGGATGATTGGCTTTTTTGCTGGATTGACCTTAAGGGAATGTACAATTACTTCAGGGTCAATTCTGGGCATATCCGCCGGACTCCATGCAAAGATATCCCTGATTTTCCCGTAGAAAATCTGTGAATATTTTCTTTTCGTCTTCTAAAAGAAGTGACCCAATTTGCACTGTCTTTAGAGGATGTTCTTCAGATATGGATACAGTGGTGAGTTCTTCTACTGGAGAGGCTCTCTGAGGTATGTCCTCGCTCCGGAGATCAAAATCCTCAATGTTTAGAGTATCGGTCGGGTGTATTTTGACCTACCTGAGATAGCAGGTTTGTGCTGCTTGTTGATCTCTGCACACCACACTAACTCCTGTTGGAGTGTGGAACTTCAGCTTGAGGTGAGGGATTGAGGTGACAATCCCAAAAATTGATTGGAGTGGCCTTCCAAAGATAGCGTTGTAAGCCGATTCAGACTTTACAACAATGAACTGAACAGAGTGTGTGGATTGCCGGGGGAATTCTCCAAGTACAACTGGAAGACTAATTATCCCTTCCGCTCGTACAGGTCGGTTATCAAACCCGTACAGAAGGCCTGCAGCGAGCTGAAGCTTTTTCTCTTGTGAGACCCATATTGAGGAAGGTAGAGTAGAAAAGGACATCCACAGAGCTGTCGTTGTCCACATGGATTCTCTTGACATTGTAGCATGGGTCGCCTATGCCTGCATTGATAACAAGCGGATCTTGGTGAGGGGTTTTTACTCCCTCCAAGTCGAAATCATCAAAGGTGATGGAGTGATCTACACGAGCTTTCTTTGGAGTTAGAATTTTTTCCACAGCCAAAAATACTTTATCGAATAGCAGGGGGCCTCCATCTATTATCTCAATTTCTCCAACTGCTATTCGATTGTTTACCGGTGGCCTCTGCTGTCGTTCTTGCCGCCCAGCAGGACGAGTTTCCTCTCGGGGAGGAGGATTCTGAATAAACTGGCGAAGATAACCTTGGCGGATAAGCCTTTCAATCTCCTCCTTCAGTTGTCTGCAAGCTTCGGTAGTGTGGACACGACTACGATGGAAATGACAATATTGGTCCTGATTTCCTGTGTTCGGCTTCAAGGGATGTGGCCACTTTACCGTATCCTGATCTCGAACAGCCATTAGCACATTTGCTCGAGATGTATTGAGAGGAGTGTATTCTTTCTCTTGTCGAGATTCTCGCCGTGGCAATGGAGGCCTCACGGGTAGATTGTTCTTCCCTTGCTTCTTTCGTTGCGAGGAAGAATTATTTGTTCCCGGCGCTCCCTTGCGCTTTCCAATAGATTGTTCAAACTGCTTCCTATTGGCGTTTATAGCCTCATCCGTCGAGATTTGAGCTTCTACCCGGTGAATTAAATCGGCATATGATGGAACGGTGTCGCGCATAAGTGTCGAATAGAAGGGGCCAGGGCGAAGGCCTCCAAGGAAGACTCCCCTCAACAGTTCAGGATCTACTCATGGGTCGAGCTTCAGTGGAGAATCGCTGAAAATACTCCTTTAAAGATTCTCATTCGTTTTGGCGGATTCTAGAGAGGTGAGAGGAATCCTTAGCAATCCTTCGGTTGGCTACGAATTGCTCGACAAAAGCTTTTGCTAATTTCACAAATGAAGGGATCGTCCCTGATGGAAGTGAGTAGAACCATGTGCGAGTTTGTCCTTTGAGAGTGGCAAGAAAGACTTGGCAGAGGAGAGCGTCCGAGGCTCGCTGAATGTGCATAATGATTCTGTAGTTGTCGATATGCTCGTACGGGTCGGACATTCTGTCGTAAGACTCGATGTTGGGTAGATTAAATCTATCCGGAATGGGATGTTGTAGTATGGCCTCAGTTAGAGGTGATGATTCCTGAAAGTCTCTCTGTCGGAGAGTTTGTCTCGCATCCCCTTGGTGGAATTCTTCCCTTACTAATTTTCGCAGTTCGTGACGCAGGGCGTCGTGAGGGAGCTTCGCTCCATGTGGTTGAGCAGAGTCTTCAGGTAGATCTGGGAGGATGCGAGGCTGTCGAATTGAAGGTGGAGGATGTGTAACTTGTCGATAATCGGCAAGTTCATTATCCTGTCGAGACTGAGGAAATCTTCTAAGTGGGGGGAGATGAACTTCTGCTTGAAGATGTCCAAATTTGACATCCTCAACCTTTGGTGGATTCTGGGGGAGGAAAACTTTCTCCTGTTGTGCTAATGCCGGCTGTCGATTCTCCCGCAGGAGTTGAAGAATCTCGTTCTGAGATTCTTCTATTTTCCAGATTCTTTCTTCCAAAGAAGGTCCTGAAATCCTTTCGCAGGCAGCATTTTGCCCCCCAGGATGCAAAGATGCTGACATTGGTCGTCTATGGTTAATAGACGAATTTCTGGACTAACGAGAGTTGGAGCGAGAAGCTCCAACCAAATGACTATTGCGCCTATTTACCATCGTAGCAGTACTCGAAGTAGTGGGATAGTGTTTTCCACACACGACGCCAAACTGTTGCGTGCTAGAAAATATGCGGCGGTAAATTCGCGTCCGAGCATTGCACGTAAATTTAACACACAAACAGTAAAGAGAATATGAACACCGGGATTTATACGTGGAAAACCCAAAAAGGGAAAAAACCACGGGGCCTTGCCTAGTTGTAAAATTCCACTAGTGTTTTTGTAAATTACAAGAAACTGATTCGTCTCATAAATCGGGACGATCATATTACAATTTGAAGCCAATTTACAAAATTTTGCTGAATCCCATCGTTTCCCGAATATCCGGCAGAGTTTTGGCGTATTCAAGTGATAGGAAGAGCTCCGGCGGTGGTCGAAGAGGAGAGGAATCGTCTTTTCCCCTTTTCCTTCTTCTCTTCTTCTTCTCTCTCTTTACTTGAGTCCCTTTGTTGTAGAATGAGGGCTCTATTTATAGTTTTTCTGAAGTGGCATAACCCGTAAATAGGCGTGAAATCAGGGGCGAATTGGGAGTGTTTTGAATGGACGCCCGATATCGAATCCTTTGATCATGCACCGTTCGTTGGGCATTTGAAGGCCTTAATGATGTTGGAATTCGTCGATCTTGGTCTCGTTAGATTCGTATCGTCGAGCCGTTCGATTTGAGTATAAGCTCGTCAAAATCGGAAACCGTTTGATAACTCAAATTGCGGTTTCAACCTTCTAACAGCGCTTTGAGCCCTTGATTCGGACACATTTGGGCTAGGATTGGGTTGATCTTGGTGTCGTTGGGTTCGTATTTTCGAGACGCTCGATTCAACTATAATATTGCTGAAATCGGAGTTCAGGGGCTCCCAAAATTATTTTTTGAAGTTTCCAACTAGCTTTTGCCTCGAGATTCGTGCCCGATCAAGATAATTTTTGGAGCATGTATCAAGTTATATAAAAATATATAATTGTAACATGTTGGTCTTTATAAAGATAAAACTTTGATTTAGAAGCACTAATTTTCTTAAGTTTTATCCTGCCACATATCGAGTTACAAAAAATATATAATTGCAACAATGTTAGCTAGGATAATAAGAAGTTTAAAATTTTGAAGAAATTTTTTTAGACCCAATCCAAATAATACGATGATCTACTAAAAGAAGTAACTGGACATACTATAAAAGACTGGACAAAGAGATTTTTTTAAGGTAGTTGTATGAAGAGGCATAAACAATATCGCATCAATAATTAATGGGGGTTCTAAAAGATCTCATATTATGAATTTAAGAATTGTCGATCAAATTATCCAAAAATGAAATGAATAAAATAATCGACAGAAGAAGGATGGTTACAACTTATGGAAAGTACAAGTATACTATCGATGTAAGGGTATGAATCACTGCTAAAGATGGAGAGGATTGATCGCCAGTGGAGTTGCTAGAAAACCTGTGGGGGAAAATTTATGCTGCCACACAAATTCATTGTTCTCAATTTTTGTAATCGAATATTATATTGAGAATAAAGTATAGTCTCGAAATACTAACACAATATTCTACAATGAATTCAATATCAAAATAGGGTTTTAGAAAATAATATTTTATGATCAAACACAATTCAAAGAATAACATATCACCTCAGAAAGTTAACTTCGAATTTTATAGTGTGTTTAAAAATAGAAATAAGGTTTTGAAAGTCCATCCATCCTTTTGATTAAATGTAATAAGGAGAACATTATATCATCTTAAAAGACAAACATAACATTCTTCAAAATGTCTAAAAACAAGAATAAGCTTTATAAAATTCATCATTTTTAAAATTAAATATAACAAGTGAAATGTTATATTATCTGAAAATGTAATAATAATATTCTATGAGTATATTTAAAACTAAACATGTGTTTTAAAAGACACCTACGTTCTCAGATATTTTTTTTCTTATTTTATAGGAATAAAATAAGGTTTATTTTAATATGAAATTCTCAAATCCCTAAGAGGCAAACCCTTATAGTTAATTACATCTTATGAGAAATACTCTTAAGAAAACTCTTGATTAAAATATTAATTTTGTACCCTTTGATTACAAAGTAGAAGATAAGAAAAGAGGTAGAAATTTTTCAAAGAGAAAGCTCGACGTTAAACGATTCTTAGTGAGTTAAATGAGAAAAAGTAGGAGGTGCCAGATTCTTAGAATCTCAGAAGCAACCTCATTTTACCCTATATCGGGCTTTAGATTTTAAGAGAGAATTTCATGTTTAAATTGATATTTTTATATATATGTATGTATGATGATTTGGTCGTCAAAGTTTTCTCCTTCATAATAAATGATATTTATAACTTGCAAATATTCCAGTGGGGGTTATATTTTTATATCAAATCATTTTTCATGAAGAAAGAAAACTAATAAGAGAGCAATTCTACAGTAGTACTATAGAACATCTCAATTACTTCAAATTTTGAAGTCTTTCCATTTTGATTTTTAAAAGTATACAACTGCTTGGACCCAATACAACATGTCACATTTATGAACTTGAGAATAACATGTATGTTGAGAAATTTGTAATTTTATTGCAACTTTTCATAACAACATCATTACACATTGTATTTTTTAAGATGCCGCTCATTTATGGGCAACATAAGACGATCACTCTTACAATCCACCAATTTGTAAGATCCTCCTTGGTAGACTTTTTTCACCACAAAAGGACCTTCCCAAGTAGGTTCAAATTTACCCTAAACCTTCAATGAGTATGGATATGTCTACGTAGAACTAATACCAGCTCTCTTACTCGAAAGGTTTTAGGATGAACCATTTTTTCATGTGCTTGAGTCATACAGGATTTATAAAGCTCGAGGTTCTGTTGAGCTTGCAACCGCTTCTCTTCTAAACCTTTGAGTTCTTCTAGTTGAAGTCGGGCATTCTGTTTTGATGTGATATGATTGTTAATTATAACTCTTAGAGAGAGAAGTTGTAATTCTAAAGGGATAATAACCTCAGCCCCGAAGATTTAAAGCAAACAGTAGAGAATGAGTTGGGGTTCTATATGAGGTTCCATAAGCCCACAAAGACTCATTCAACTTTTCATGCCACTATCGCTTATTGTTCTCTAAGATCTTCTTTAGAATTCCTACCAACATCTTATTGAAGGCCTCCGTCAATCCATTCGCCTGTGGGTAATAGCTTCTGTAGTATTGCCAATCAATATTATGATGTTTAACAAAATTGTTCATTTTGGTGCTCTTGAAGGAGGAACCATTATCGGATATTATTCGACGATGAATGCCGAATTGATATACAATATAGTCTCGAAAGAATTGGAGTGCATTGTGATTTTTAACTTCTCGCAACGAAACAGCTTCTACTCATTTTGAGAAATAATATATTGCTGCTAAAATGAACCAGTGACCTTTAAAAGAGAGAGGATCGATAGGACCAATGATATCAAATAATATCCATGAACCAACTTTCAAAAGGCCATGAAGCGATTGTTGAATGTAGGGCATTAGGAGGTTGGTGTAGGACTACATCATATACTTGGCACTGGTGACAACAATGAACAATAGACATACAGTCGTCAATCATTTATAGCCAATAATATACAAGTTACTTAATTTTCAACTTCATTTTAGGGATAAATTGGTGAGCACCACACAATCTAGCATGTATCTTTATTACGATCTTTTGGGCTTCTTGCTTACTAAGATAATATAGCCATAATTAATCAAAAGACCAATGTTATAAAATGTCCTTTATTAGTGTATAAGAGAGCCTTTCTCCTAATTTGATCTAAAACAGATCTCTCTTGAGGGTGTTTACTTTCTTGCAAATAGTCAATGAAAGATTGTCTCCAGTTAACTGTTTCATCATCAATAACAAGAACAATCTCACCCTCAGAAGAAAAATTTTTATTGATATATTCCGAGTCTATAGGAGATAGGATCTTGCAAACTTATACTTTTATCAATCAAGTTGTTGGTATTTACAAAGTCTTAAAACCT